AATTTCAGACAGAGACATTTCAGGAAAGGCTGCTATGCCCCAGATTCCCACCAGACTTCAGTCAAGCTTGACATTGAAATACAGGCAAGCCCTGCAGTGTTACTTTAACTTGGTGTATTAAAATTTCAGGCAAATGTAAGTCTTCACTTAACAATGCTCCCTATTAAAGTATGTAAACTCTAAGTACCTTTTCAAGTTAAGAATCTGGGAACAACCCCTTCCATCAGTTAGAACACTGCAGTCCATTTCTAGCAGCTGAACGTGACGGATTTTGCCTCAGACACGCAAGTCTTACAAAGCTAAGGTTTGTGGTTTGGCTTTTTTTTTTTTCCTTTGGTAAGAGGTCGTAGGAGAACTTTCGGTATCTGTCAAACAGCAGTCACCAATAGCACAGAAAAATAATCTCTAGGCAAAATGGGAAAACACACAACACTCTGCTGATACTCACTTGAAAGGCAGTCATCAATATTACTGTCACAGTCTCCTCCGGTGAAGCCTGGCCGACACTCACACAGGTAACTGCCTTGAATATTATGGCACAGAGCATGATTTTTGCACGGCTTTGACAGACATTCATCAATGTCCACGGTACATCTCTCCCCTGAAACACGGACAGTCCAGAAGTTAAGACCCCTCATAAAGCAACAGTCAAAAGGCTCAAGGCCAAAACCGCTCAGCGTTAACGGACGGCATTTTGCCTGCCCACATTACCTTCCCAGCCAGGGGCACACTGGCAGGTGTAGCCTTCGGGGTCAGGAGATTCTTGGCAAATTCCCGAGTTCTCACAGGGATCAGGGGAACAAGGAGCAACCACTACCTGGCAGTTCACGCCTGAAGAGCAGAAGGGGAAAAACCAGGAGAGTATGCTGCTGAGATCTTGGTGCGTCTTGGAACAATGAATAAAGAGACTGCAAATTGCATGATTATCCTACCCAGCAGTGGATGGCATTTCCATATTTGAAAAATCCCAGCAGAAAAAAAAGGAGATCAGAGCACTCTGAGGCTCAGTGGGTACAAGCAGACAACAGCCATGGTAATTCCAAATTTAATGGCCCTTCAATTCCCAGTGCATTTATATCTCTCAGTCTAATTTTCTCACAAGGAAAATTAAGCTAGAACTGCTACCAGGACATTTCTTAATGAGTCCAAACAAGGCTTAGATATGGTCTTAGTAAGTATTCCACTACTGTATCATGTCTAGATGAACCAAC